GTGGGCGAGTGTGTACATAGGTGATGAAGTGCCAAATTTGTACTCGTAACTCAGCAGGGATTTCCCCTGTCTTAGGGGCTGCTACACTTCAAAGTCAGCTCACAAGACAGCAGAGAACGAGCTCCAAAAGGAATTGCTCTACCCAAAGAGTCTGGGAAGATCTTAGAGCCCCTTTCAGTGTCTGAAAGGGCTGCAAGAAAACTGGTGAGAGACTTGGGAGGAAGGGGAATGTCTTCAAACTGAAAGGGAGTAGGTTTAGACTAGACTTTGGGAAGAAATTTTTCCCTGGGAAGGTGGGGAGGCCCTGGCACAGGTTGCCCAGGGAAGCTGTGGTTGCCCCATCCCTGGAGGTGTCCAAGGCCAGGTTGGATGGGGTTTGGAGCAACCTGGGCTAGTGGAAGGTGTCCCTGCCCATGGCAGGCGGGTAGAATATGGTGACTTTTAAAGTCCTTTCCAACTGAAACGATTCTGTGACTCTATTTGTTTGAAGAGGGTCCCAGGCCCATCTTTTCACCTGCAGCATTTGCTGCCATCCAACAACTCCAATGCCTCATCTCTCCACTCTTCCCAGGTCCCACCATTCCCCAGACATATCCTCAGGCAACCACACAAACAAATAGTAAAACCAGGAATCACCATGGTGATACTTCAGTTGAGCAGCTTTTACATCGCTACCTCCCCAGGGTTCACCTGATCTGTCCCCCTTTTCCTTCAGCTCCCCTTGTAGGACCAAAAAGCCTCTGATCCTCAACCTGCTCCTGCGAGAGCATTCACAGCCCGTTGCTCCCTGCAGTTTTCCCAAGTGGAGACTTCCATGTTTCAACAGTGATTGTCACCCATCCACCACCACTTTGGGAAGGGCATCCTGAGCATCCAGATCCAGAAGGAGAGCACAAAAAGCAGGTCAAAGAATCAGGACATAAGACAAAAAGTAATTGTTAAAAGAATTATTCGCAAATCTGCTTTACCTCTATAGTAAAAAAAAAAAAAATAAAAAAAAAAATCCCTCAGACTGAAGTTTCCTGGAAAGCACTCCCACAGATTTATTTCTGAAGCACAGACAAAACTCAGACTACCTAAAACACATCTATAAATGGCACTTCCACTGATGCCTCTGCGTCAGTGGCGTATTCCACAGCAGTGCCTTCTGCTGCTCAGCATCTGCTACCACACTTTGTCTCATCCTAGGGATTACTTCTGTAACTCAAAGCAGGTGTGAGAACACAGACTCTGAGCCTGTGCCCCGGAGCCAGGCTGTAGGACAGACAGGGAGATGTTGACTCAGATGGACAGAGAGCACCAGCACCAGATCACATCTTCAGTGTTCGGAGAAAAGCGAGCAGGCACACACTGCCAAGGGTGATGGGGACATCCATGTGTCATTGAGGGTCTGGGCCTCTGGGACAGTGGCAAAAGAAAAGCTGCTTCAGAATTAAAACTGTGATCTGCTGTGGTTTACTTGGTGAGGTGGTTTTTGGTCAAAGGTTGAACTTGATCTTGGAGGTCTTTTCCAGCCTTAATGATTCTGTCATTCTGTGCTGAACAGCCCATCCTGTGCAGCTGCTGCAGCTGAACACAGAGAAGTGGAACTCAGATGAACTAAATCAGGCTCTCACCTCCACCCCGGCATCACACAGAGGTGGGAGATGAGAGCAGGAGCCACAGTACTGAGTCACCCCTTCAATTCTGATATCAGTACAACCCCTGCAGTGCTACAATCTGACTGCAGGTCACCACAAGACAGAAGCAAGTCAGTTAGATTTGCTCTGCGTTTCAGAAAAGAATGAACCGAAAAAGCCCATCATCATCTCCAAATCATAAGGGGGAAGGGACGGCACTCATTTAAAACAAGGATTCACATCCCATTTCCAAGCCCTCCTGATTCATCCTAGGGTAAATGTTATTTGCTATCACAGACTATGGGAGCACTAGGAGTAATGATAAGACAGCTTTGTTTGTTAAACTTGCCATTCAAAAGAAGTTTTACATGTGAGGGTCCAGCATGAGAGGTCAGAGCCAGCAGTGCCACCAGGTGAGTCCTCACTGCTGTCCCTCTTTGTACACCAAAAATCAGCAACTCCTCAGCAGGTTTTGCCTTAGAGCTATCCCTAAAGATACGAGATGATTCCTCCAATCCCCAAATTACTGCCCATTAGCTTTGGAGGGAGCTGGCAATTCAGCTCCCACATCCAGCACAGCTCAGCCCTGCAGGAGGAGATTGCAGGAGCAGACTCCAAACACCACATTGAAGGGAATGGTCAGCAAAGGGTTTTCCTCCTGACCCTGCTCCCATGGAAGAATAACACATTACCTCAGCCAAATGCCTCTGCTGCAGCCCCTGGCCAGGGCATGTCCCACAGCTGGGTGCTTTCAAGTTACAAATTCCCATTCCAATCTGGCAATACATTGACAGCATAATCCAGGTTTTACAGTGGAAATCAGATCTGCCCATCAGTTCCAGACGTATAAAGTCATATTTCTTCTTGTAAAACAGTATCAACACTTTTGATTGGCAAAGTATTTTAAAAAAACACTTTTAACTGGCTGGATCAAGATTATTTTTTTAGCTCATTTAGGTGACTGGGGAAGAGCCAAGAGGAGAAGCAACAGATGGTAACAGGATACTTCACAATTTCCAGTGTTTTTATTTTAAAGGGTGCACCATGTACTCTTATTACACTTCGCCACTAAAGGAAACTGCTGCATCCAAAAATTTTCACCCAGAAACCTGATTCGATTTTATAGGGATTTGTAAAAGCAGAGACATATTCCAACTTTGTCTGTGGGTTAGATTTTTGCGTGACATCATCTGCTAAAATATGGGAAAATCTGAGCTGGAAGGGCTGTGTTTGGAGGCAGCTCAGATCATGTTGCCTTTGACATTGCTATTTCTCTATTTTTCTGGAAATCCTCTCCGCAAGGTATCCTCTCCCTTTCTTTGGGACCACACAACGGATTTCAGGGAGGATTCCCCTCTCCGTACTGAGAAACCAACTAAAATGAAATGGAAACAAGCTGAGCTGAAACAAAACCGAAGAGAACTTGAAAAAATTTAAAAAAAAAAAAAAAAAGCCATAAAGAGCATTAGTCAATGCCATCAGCAGTCCCGGTCTGACTCCTCCCTCATCCAAATTATTTGATGTCCTATTAGGCGGCTCATTAGGAAAACTCAAAGCCTTTCACCACAAGAGTCATTACTCTGCACAGTGGCCCCACAAAAGCTTCCAGCCATTCCTCTGCTTGGGCAGCTGCACCCAGAAGTTTGAAAAAGTTACCTGGTAACTTTGGAAAGGACTCAGGGGTTTATACTGGAGCTGTCTGGAAGATTTACCCGGACAGGGAAACGCCTAAGGATGCTCTGAAACCGTTACAGCATCAGCACCGGCAACAAGGAAAGGAAAAGTTTGTTATTCTTTCCTTTGAAATAGGCAAAACTGGAAATAATTCCACTGTCAACAGATACCGAATAAATACAAAATAACCAAGGGGCCTGATGAGCCCGCTGGACAAAAGGGAGCTCCAGAGGAGCGGGTGTCACTCCGGCGCTCTGCTGGTCTGAAAACAACAGCCCGATACTTCTGCAGCACAAGTTCTGTGGCAGCTCCCACCGCCCTTAACTTTTCCCTGCAGGGATGTTCTACAGACTTTATTCATTGACCAGCAACTGCTTTTCCATCTTGCTCAGCCTTCACAAGCAAACCATTAATGAAAGCATTCCTCCCACGCCCAACCTTTTCTTCCTTAACGTCATTTTAAGAACCCAGAAATGACAGTAATTCACAACCACTCTGCTTTGTACACAGAATCCCACTGCTATGAACAGAATCCCACGGGCGTTTGCCCTGGTAACACTCAAGCAACCCCTGCAAAACACCTCTGCCAGGGCTTCCCAGGGAAAAACACCCGGAGCACACAAAAATCAGGCAGGAAAGCTAAATCGAAAGCTGAATCAAGAGCTGAATCCCAGACAGCTCAGCTCTTCGGGGCACTTCTCGGTTTCTCAAGTTAAACTTTTCAGATTTCAAAAAAAAATCAGCTTTGCCAACAAACCGCTCCTCAGTCATTCCCTTGGAATCCAACACAAACAGACCTCAGAGCGCCGATGCCTCCAAGTGTCCACTACAGACTCAGGGAACGCTCTGCAAACACACGGAAAACTTTTCCAGCAACCCCACAAGTCCCCAGCTGCCCTGCTCTGGCATTTCCCAGCCCACCCGGGGGGGAAGGCAGACATTTGGGAAGCAGAGCTCTGGAAACGCGCTCCACAACCCCAAAAGGGAAATAGGAGTGTTTAATTCCCCCCTCTGCACGACTAGGAAAAGAAATGACATTCCAGGGGTTTTCTGTGCTGTTGCACATCTGGAACTTAAGAGCTTCCTCCCGCCACATTCAACAGCCCCAAATTTTAGGGAAAAACCCTGTGGATTGGGGCTGGGGAGGGGGCAGCGGAGCTTTGGGGTCCCGAGCGGCTCCAAAGCTTTTGTGTCCCGAGCTCTGGCGCTTTGATGTGCGGAGGGAGAGCAGATTCCTGCGGGACAAAAAACTTTCTTCTCCTCAAGGAGGAGGAACTACGCAAGCCCAGAGCTTTCCAGCCGACTAAATATACATTCACATATATATATCCACGTAGATATATAAAGAATCAGAGCTTCCAGAAACTCGTCCTGACTTTTCCTCCAGAAAAAGCAGCCCGGCAACAGGCAGCTCTGCTCCAAGAAAGGCGAATAAAGTATTGTTTTAAGTTTTTTCCCCTTTTACGGGCCCCCTGACAAATGGCATTCAGACACTCGGGCAGCTAAAGGAGGTTGGGTGGGTTTTGTTGGGTGGTTTTTTTTTTTTATCCCCTTCTTTCTCTTTTGCTTGGAATGCATTGAGGAAAGGAAAGACAAGGCACAAAAGCCCCCTCGCCCACTCCGCGACCCCGCAGAACCCCCCTCCTCCCCCCCAAGACCATGCAGGACCCTCCTCCCGGGGTTGGGGGGCTCGGGGACCCCCCTTACCTGCCCGGCCGAGGGACAGGGCACCCAGCAGCACCAGGGCAGCGGGCACCGACCAGCTCCGTATCCAACTGCGCCTTTTCCACCGCGTGTGCGTATCCATGGTCCACAAAAAAACGGGGCACCAGCTCGGGACAACTCAGGGGCGGGGG